GTCTTACTTGTACAATGAAAGGTGATCTCAAACAAGAACTTAATTTACTGAAAAATCAATTGCGTTTATCCACCTATTTATTTAGACAGGGTCTCATTATACAACTCACTTGGTAGCCCAGGCTGGCCTCAAATTCATGATCCTCCTGCCTTAGATTCCCAAGCGCTAGGATTACAGGCATGTACTACTAAGCCTGACTAATTTGGGCTATTTGGGCTATTTTTTAAATGAATAATTACTTTGTGTTTTTTTTTTTTTTTTGTCAGTCGTGGGGCTTGAACTCTGGGCCTGGGCGCTGTCCCTCAGCTCTTCAGCTCAAGGTGAGCGCTCTACCACTTGAGCTACAGCGCCACTTCCCGGTTTTCTGGTGGTTTATTGGAGATAGGAGTCTCATGGTCTTTCTTGCCCGGGCTGGCTTTGAACCGCGATCCTCAGATCTCAGCCTCCTGAGTAGCTAGGATTACAGGCGTGAGCCACCAGCGCCCAGCTCTACTTTGTGTTTTTAGAGAAAGTTCTCAGGTCTAAATGAATACCGTGCGTTAAAGTTATGTGTATTGATCAGCAGTCATCAAAGCAATGGGCTGAAGCATTTAAAAGACATTCATAGCCCAGCACTGGTAGCTCACGCCTGTAATCCTAGCTACTCAGGAGGCTGAGATCTGAGGATCACAGTTCAAAGCCAGCCTGGGCAGTAAAGTCCATGAAACTCTTATCTCCAATAAAACCACCAGAAAACCAGACTCAAGTGTAGAGTGCTAGCCTTGAGCTGAAGAGCTCAGGGACAGTGCCCAGGCCCAGAGTTCAAGTGCCATGACTGACAAAAAAAAAAAAAGACATTTATATTTTCCCTGCTGTACTCTCAAGTGCCCAGGTCAGAGCCTGGCCTAGCATAGGCATTTAAGGAAATATCAAATACCAGTATCTCACATCTGTAATTCTACCTACTCAGGAGACTGAGGCCTAAAGGACTAAGGCTAAAGCCAGTTCAAGCAGCAAAGTTCAAGAAACTGTCTTCAGGGCTGGGAAGTTGGCTCAGTGGTAGAGCGCTTGCCTTGCATGCATGAGGCCCTGGGTTCCATTCCTCAGCACCACATAAGCAGGAAAAAAAAAAAAGCTGGAAGTGGCACTGTGTCTCAAGTAGTAGAGTACTAAGCCTTGAGCTGAAGAGCTGAGGGACAGCGCCCAGGCCTAGAGTTCAGGCCCCACGACCGGACGCAAAAAAAAAAAAAAAAAGAAAGCTAAGGGAGGGAAAGCAGGAGGTCAAGTTCAAGATCCAGTATCAGCAAAAAAGAGAGAAAAAAAGAAAACATTTTGAGTAACATTTCCCTAAAATTCTGCTTACCATGGTATCTTGCCAATAAGAAAGAAGCATTTCAACAAGACACTGGATTATCTGAAACCTCATATCACAAATAGATGTAACTGGGAGTCACTGGAAGATTCTCTGAAAGACATTCTCCTCAGGGTAAAATGGCATTGTCATCACAAACTAATAATTATCAAACACCTATTTATTTAACATCGGGTCTCATAGAAGAACCTTCTTTTCCCCTTCCTCATTAAGGTTAGCAAGCTAGAACCTCTGTGGTAGAAAGGACACTTACACACAAATGATATATATGTGGTTAGTGTATATGTATGTTGCAAAAGACAGACACACAAATGTCATACAATTAGGCAGCTTTTCCAAACTTAACATGAAGGCCTCAGAAGTTTGGCCTTTCTAACCATATTTACATCCTATGAGCTCATCCTTGAGCCCTGAAACTTCAGCTACAATAGAACCTTTCCTCTTCTTCTTCTGTCCTTAGCTCAACATCCAAGAAAAATCCCTCAATGTCTATCAAACTAACTTCATCTAAAAAGTAAGCTTTTAGCTCATATCCTAGTAAGCCCCCCCAAAAAATCACACACACACACACACACACACACTATTCAGGCTTGTATCAAATTATACCCAAAAAATATAAAAAGCCATGTTCTCTTGAGAACTTATTACGTTCTTGGCACAGTGCTAAGTCCTTACATACATTAATTCATTTAACCTTCACAATAACCTTTGTTGTTATTACTAGTTTGTTTTGGGACAAGTTCTAACCACGTAGCCTGGCCTGAAACTCTGTATCCTCTTGCCTTAGCCAGGGATTATAAGCACGGTATGCACAACCATGCCAACCTACAATAACCTTTACAGTAGATGGTATTATTGTTCTCCTTCTAGAGTAAAAGAGAAAAAAAAGTGGTGCTGTGGCTTAAGTGGTAGAGTGCTATCCTTGATTACAAAGAGGCTTACAAAGAGGGACAGCACCATGTCCTGAGTCCAAGCCCCATAACCAACCAAAACAAAACAAAACAAGATTGAATACTGTTGAGACAGACTATTTCCCACTGTGAAAACAGAGTAAGAAAACATGTTACTTCTTAAGAAGTAGGATGGTTGCGGGGGTGAAATTGATGAGAATATAGCACAAACGTGTACGGAGATATAATGATGATATCTACTGTCATAGCTGATATAAGCAAGAAAAAAAAAGGTAATTTTGGGCTGGAAATGTGGCTCAGTAGTAGAGTGCTTTTCCAGCACAGATGAACCTCTGGGTTCCACATCTTAGTACCACAAAAACAGAAAAGGCCAAAAGTGGTACTGCGGCTAGCCTTGAGAAAAAAAAAGAAGGGACAGTGCCCAGGACCTGAGTTTAAGCCCCAGGACTGAAAAAAAAAAAAAAAGGGAAAAATCCTAGAATCTTAGATCAATGTTATAAAAATGAGATCATTTCTAGCCCAGTGCCAGTGGCTTATGCCTGTAATCCTAGATATTCAAGAGGCTGAGATATGAGGATCTCAGTTTGAAGCCTGATGTGTCAGGAAAGTTTATAAGACTCATATCTCCAACTAACTACCAAAACATCAGAAGTAAAACTGTGGCTCAAATGGTGGAGTACTAGCTTTGAGAAAAAAAAAAAAAAAACTCAGGAATAGGGCCCAGGCTCAGTTCAAGCCCTAGGACTGACACCAAAAAAAATAACAGATATTTATTCAAATTATTAAAGTTTTCCTCTGGTCTTAGGTCCCAGTCCCACAATTGTAGGGTTTTTTTTTGTTGTGGTTTGTTTTTTTCCTTTCGGTTGTACAGCTTGAACTCAGGGCCTGGGTACTGTCCCTGAGCCTCTTTGTCCTCAAGGCTAGCACTCTACCACTTGAGCCACCGTGCTACTTCTAGTTTTTGAGTGGTTAACTGGAGATAAGTGTCTCACAGGGACTTTTCTGCCTGGGCTGGCTTCCAACCATGATCCTCAGATCTCAGCCTCCCATGTAAGAAGATTTTTTACAGGCCTGAGCCACTGGTGCCCAGGGCCAATCTGCAATCTTTATTCTTTATTTCAAATATTTACTTAAAACACCTGGATTGACTCTACCTGAAAGAACATATATTAGGTTATTCTGATAAAAGATTGAAAGCCACTCTCCAGCTCTAGTTTTCAATATGCTTTTTCTCTATAAGGTTGTGATTAACCAAAAATGTATCTGAATCAAGTTGAAAATTAAAGCCTAACATTAAAGTATACCAGAAGTGCCATCCAGAAAAAAAGAGACACAGTGGCAAGGACTAACACACACACACACACACACACACACACACACACACACACGTGCGCGCATTATGAGGGCAATGGAAAGACCTGAGTACAAGGCCTGAGTGTTCCATGCTGACTGGCCTCTTCCCTGACCCCTTACATCCTGAAAACTCAATGACCATTGTAGAGCAACAAAGGCTGGCTAAATTATCAACTATTACCACCAATTCTGACCTCTGGAATGAGGAGCACAAAACTAAGTAAAAAACTAGCTACCAAATTTTTTGGCCACCAGTTCTGACAAGTTGTAATCGTAACATCAGTCATTCATTCATAGATGAAACTGTCTTGCCAGCCCAGCCACTCAAGTCCTGCTAACATATTGAGTAAAATAGCAAGACATAACAAAGCAGAAGTAAACGAACATTGATAGTACTTTTCAAACCAGGCTGACAGAAAAAAAAATTTAAAAAGTCTTCTTAATGGGAAGGTTGCTGAAACTTTATCCCCAACTCTCATGACCTTTCTCTAATTAGGAGGGAGAAAGCAGCTTGAAGGAGAGAAAGGGCCTGGGTGCAGGGTTTACATCTTTTCAAGGGTAATACAACAGGGATAGGGGCTGGGAAGATGGCTCAGTGGTAGAGCGCTTGCCTCGCGTGCACAAGGCCCTGGGTTCAATTCCTCAGCACCACATAAACAGAAAAAGCCGAAAGTGGCGCTGTGGCTCAAATGGTACAGCACCAGCCTTGAGCTGAAGAGCTGAGGGACAGCGCCCAGGCCCAGAGTTCAAGCCCCACGACCACCACACACACACACAGGGACAGACTGAAGAGGAGAGGGAAGCTCTGGAGTTCAAGCCCACGACAGACAGACAGACACACACACACACACACACACAGACTGAAGAGGAGAGGGAAGCAAAAAGCCAGTGTCTGCGTTGGGAAAGGGGGTGGGGAGGGCGCCCTCGGGAGAGGGACGGAGGCCTGGGTGACGGGGTTCAGAAGCCACTGGGGGAGAAAGGCTCCGGGAAGGCGGTGGGGCGGGTTAAGAGGCGGGAGGCGCGTCCAGAGGCCGAGGAGGCAGAGGGGGCCGGATGGGGTGACCCGCTCCGAGCTCTGGGAGCGGAGGCCGCAGGCCAGAAGGGTCGGGGAGGCACGGGAGGGAAGGGGACCGGGGCTGACGGGCTGGGAGAAGACCGGGCTCCGGCGCGAGCGCCCCGACCCCGCGGGCCCAGGAGGGCGAGGGTGAAACGGAGTGGTGACAACGGTCGGCGCCGGCGGGCGCGGGTCGGGGGCTGTCCCAGCTCGAGTTGGGGTGGGTCAGGGAGGGGGAAAGGGCAACCACGGAGCCCCGCTCCGGCAGGAGGTGGGTTGCGGGGGTCAGGAAGGGACCGGGACCGGGCCGGGGCGGCGCGGGCGCTCTCACCGGGACAGGTGCTTCAGGATCTGCTTCTTAATGATCCCGGCCATGCCGGAGCCGCGGCCCGCGCGGAGGGCGGGCGGCCAGCTGTGGCCTCCTCAGTCGCGGAGAAGAGGCGGCCTCTCACCTCGCCGCCACGGCGCAGGCACCGGATGCCGCCGCCACCGCAGCCGCCATCACGCGCTCTCGCTCCGGCCTCCGCACAGGGAATTCCGCCACGATCCCACCTACCCTCGCGGCGCCACAGCCGCCGGCCTGGACGATCGGCGAGCGCTCGCAGCACGCCCGACTGGCTCGCGGCGGCCGGAGCGAGGGGAGGGGAGGGGCGGGGACGCGCGCGCGGCGACGTAGGGCCGAGCGCGGGGTGTGGCGGGAGCGCGCGCGGCGGGGGGCGGGCTAGGATCTTCCCCCGCCTTATCAAGGTTCACACCCTGGCCTGTCGCCCGGTGCATCCATCCGGAGAAGCCGAAATTAAAAATAAATAAATAAACGTGCAGGAATACGTTAGTTGCGCGTGGTGGTACCGGATCCTGAGGCTCCGGGGAGGAGGTCCCCAAAAGGGAGGCCTCTGCTAGGCTCTTGGGTACTTCTTGGTGATGTCCCAGAAAAAACTTAGAGGACACGTCGAGGTAGAAACTAAGAAAGTTTACTAATAAAGCAAAGTCGAGAATTTAGCACACAGCCTAGCCATGGGTACGGCCAATACTGATAACAGGTGCAAATGAGTGTTTTAACATCACGGGCATTCATGATGACAAAGTTAAAAAGCTGGGAATTGGCTCAAAACCACCTTCTCACATTCTCTTGGGCTCAGCGACTGTTAAGACTGACCTGCTTGTTAAAGTTCAGCCACTGATGTCTGGGCATCTCTTGGAAGAAAGGTCACCTGTACTTTCAAGACAGCTGTCCAGCCAGGCACAGGTGGCTCATGCCTGTCATCCTAGCTACTCAGGAGGCTGAGATCTGACGATCACAGTTCAAAGCCTGCCCAGGCAGGAAAGTAGCCCATGAGATTATCTCCAATTAACTACCAGAAAACCAGAAGTGGTGCTGTGGCTCAAGTAGTAGAGCGCTTGCCTTGAGCTGAAGAGCTGAAGGACAGCACCCAGGCCCAGAATTCAAGCCCCATCACACACACACACACACAAATTCAAGCCCCATCACACACACACACACACACACACACACACACACACACAAATTCAAGCCCCATCACACACACACACACACACACACACACACAAATTCAAGCCCCATCACACACACACACACACACACACACACACACACACACACACACACCTGCATAGAGAAGGGGAGTAAAAATGGGGCAAAATACTAATAGGCTAACTTGAATACATTATTTTTTATATTATACTCTGTGTGTGGTTCTTGCAGATTTTCTGTAAATTTGAAATCTCGAGTCCCCAAAGTGTAAGGTCAGTAACATTTCCATCTACCTTATTCCTACCCTTGTCTGATGAACTACTGTAGATTCTGCATTTAATTCTATCCACAAAGTCTAAACCTCACAATTTCCAGTTAGGAGAAGAAAATGTCTCCAATTGGTTATTCTTATTAAATGCTTATAGGCCTTAAGGATACTGTCAGATAAACAGAAAGCAGCCCAGGCTTTTTTCTATTGTTCACCAACCAACTAGAAGCTAAGATACTATCTGACAGAAGCTATTTAAATGGGACAAACGCTTCATCATCAGTGGACTTTTTCCATAGAGGATAATGGCTCTGTGTAAGGATCTCATTTCTTGTGCAGCCTGGAATCAAGTTCAGTGTTCTGACAAGTCACTAAAAATCCCTGGCAGTAACAACAATGACAGCCTGGACTTATAAATGCATTTACACTAATTTTAGATTGGCCTATAGAATAGAAAACAAATGTGATTTTCCAAATTGTCATTCCTTATAAGTCTTGCCAGTAGCGTCTTGTGTACACCTATACAAATGCTTTATCTACCTTGGCTGCCTTCAAACTGCAATTCTCAGCCTTCTAAGTAGCTAGGATTATGATGTGAGGCAGCCCCCCCAACTTCGTTTTTGTTTTGGTACTAGGGCTAGAACCCAGGGCCTCACTCTCACTTGGCTTTTTCACTGAAGGATTAGGCTTCTACCAGTTGAGTACAACTCCATTCATAACTTTTTTCTAGTTAATTGGAGATAAGTCTCATAGACTTTTCTGCCCAAACTGGCTTTTGGTCTTAAAAGGTCCTGTTTGGTCTAACAACATCTTGTTAGGGAGCCCACACTATCGTCTTAATTTAATAATCCTGTCTTTACTTCCGAAATGCTGGGATTGGGCTGGGAAGGTGGCTCAGTGGCAGAGTGCTTACCTTGCATGCACGAGGCCCTGGGTTCGATTCTTCAGCACCATATAAGCAGAAAAAGCTGGGAGTGGCACTGTGGCTCAAGTGGTAAAGCGCTAGCTTTGAGTTGAAGAACTGAGGGACAGCAGCACTCAGACCCAGAGTTCAGGCCCCACGACTGACCAAAAAAAAAAAAAAACAGCACTCAGACCGAAGTGCTGGGATTACAGGTATGTACCACATTCATAGAATATGCAGCTGTACGAATGAATCACACTTGTTAAGTATGCTCTTTATCGTAGATAATATGTATTCTACTTAAAAATGCTTGCTGTTAACACATAACCTTTTAATGTATCATTTTGTGTTTGTGCAAGTTTACTTGTAAGATAAATTCCTAGTCATGGATATGCTAAGTTTAAGGTACAGGTATTTTAATTTTGATACTGTGAAATTGCCCTCTCCAAAACAATTTTATTTCTGCTTACATTGTAAAAGTTTAAATTATACACTATACTGAATATGAATAGTGCCAGTGGCTTCCTTTCTAGATGCTTTTCTAAAAATATCCTATACTAGCAGCTCACTGATGTGACAGCTTTTTTTTTTTTTTTTTTTTGGGGGGGGGGTCCAGTTGTGGGGCCTGAACTCTGAGCCTGGGCGCTGTCCCTCAGCTCTTCAGCTCAAGGCTAGTGCTCTACCGCTTGAGCCACAGTGCCACTTCCAGCTTTTTTCTTTTTGCTTATGTGGTGCTGAGGAATCGAACCTAGGGCCTCAGGCTTGCATGCAAGGCAAGCGCTCTACCACTAAGCCACCTTCCCAGCCCCGTGACAGCATTCTTAAATCATTTTCTGTACCAAATAATAGCATAATTATTCAGAATTTTCTGTGTGCACGCGCCAGTCCTGGGGCTTGAACTCAGGGCCTGAGCACTGTCACTGAGATTTTTTTTTTGCTCAAAGACACAGCTTTTGGGTAGTTAATTGGAAAGAGAAGTTTCATGGACTTTCCTGCCCAGACTGGTTTTGAACCATGACCCTCAAATTTCAGCTTCATGAGAAGCTTGGATTACAGGTGTGAGCCAAAAAGAGGAGAGCCCAGAGAAAGGAGAAGCTGAGGCAAAGTTAATTCTTGGCATTTTTAGCTGATATGCATCCAACATGAAGTACTGTCCCCTACTTCAACAGGAAAAACCCACAACTGTGAAAGTGTTACCCAGTAATCTGTTTATTATATTAATCAGAAAAACCTCTCCAGGGCTGGGAGTGTAGATAACTGATAATTTGTCTGGCCACACATGAGCCCTGGGTTTGATTCTCAGCACCTTTTCTTTCCACAAAGAAAGAAAAGCTCTACAGGGTTAGAATTTATTTACTTAAGATAACTACTAAACAAAGGCAGAATGTGGAAACTTATTCTACTGCTGAGAAACAAGAATCCACACAGAGAACATGCTGAAGAGAATGTGCTAGAATGCAACTAGAATGTTTTATCTCTTTTATGATATACAAAGAATAAAGACAAAAAAAAGGGAACACACTTTTAACTAAAAGAGCTAATAGTTTTATTTTCACATTTCACAATACAAATGAAATCTGTTTTTTCTGTCCCACTTCTCTCCTCCAAATCTATTCTTTTGATAAAAGGAAGCAAGTCTTCCTTGTCATGCTGTTGGAAAACACCCAGTGTCACCAATGATCTCCTGGTGAAGTTGAACAAATAATATAAAACTGATAAGGCCCCCCCCTCCTTTATTCTTATCTGTCTGGTCTAGTCATTCCTGGCCGAGTGGGCACCATCATGGGACGAGCAGGAGGTCTCATCATTGGAGGCCCAGGCATCATTGGCATGTGACCTCCCATGGGTGGCCTCATTCCAGGAGCTGCAGAAGAAATGGAAAAAAATAAGAAAAAAAGGAAGTGAGAAAGTATTTATGAGCAAGCTTGATGAGACTTCAATTAAAATTTTAAAAAGAATCCTTTCCCCAGCAAAAGGCTGCCAAAAGATTTACGTGACAGAAGAAAATGCAACAAATTCATCATATTTGTAAATGACTTAAAGACATTGCCAAACAAAAAAAGTCAACACAAGAACCATATAGTAGTCATGATGTAATAATAGCAAGGAAAACTATAAATAGACTTCGGAAGTCACCAGGACACTAGTTCTCTAAACTGATATTTTTTCTCACCCAGGGAAATTCACAAGTACATCACATGGTATTCAGTTAACTCTTCTTACCAGGTATAGCCAGTATATAAACAGGAGCTATTTCACGAATATACACAGGCAGAGGGACAACCTTACTACGAAGGGTTCATTCACAGTTGTAGGGAAGGTGAACAAAAGGCCCATTCTAAGAACCTGTCAGTAACTATACTTAGCTCAAGTCAAAAAATAATAATAATAGGAAGTGTCGCTGTGGCTCACGCGGTAGAGCGCTCGCCTTGAGCTGAAGAGCACAGGGACAGCACCCAGGCCCAGAGTCAAGCCCCACAACCGACCAAAAAAAAAAATAAAAAAAAATAGGCTGCCAGACGCTGGTGACTCAGGCCTGTAATCCTAGCTATTCAGAAGGCTGAGATCTGAGGATCACGGTTCAAAGCCAGCCCAGGCAGGAAAGTCAGAGAGACTCTTGAATCTCCAATAAACCACTAGAAAACCGGAAATGGCACTGTGGCTCAAGCGGTGGAACACTCGCCTTGAACTGAAGATAGCAGGGACAGCGCCCAGCCCCAGAGTTCAAGCCCCACGACCAACCAAAAGAAAACAAAAAAGGCAATAATGTGATTTTTAGCAATTATCATATATAAATTTTATTTTTCTAGTGCATTTTACAAACTATTAATATTTTTTTTTGGTCAGTTGTAGGCTTGAACTCTGGGCCTGGGTGCTGTCCCTCAGCTCAAGGCCAGCGCTCTACCACTTGAGCTATAGCGCCACTTCTGGTTTTCTGGTGGTTA